AAGGAAGCCACTCTCCAGCCAAAACCCCTGCTCCACTCCTCTCCTGCTAGCCCTTGGGGATTTCCCACTCTCGGAGCAGAATCTCTGAATCACTTCATCTGTGGAAGAGGCAAAACAAAAGGCTGCAAGAGATAGGCAAGCAGCTTTGCGACAGCAGCGTCGCTCCGCACAGCAAACATCCTTTTCCTGGCATTTTGTTTTGCACCTAATTGAATCAGCCTCTGCCTGGCTAATGAAAGAGAGGAAGAAAGTGGAAAAAGTTCCTTTGTTTCTCCGCTCCAACCTCCCCGTGGAAGGGCTGCAGGCTGCCAACGCTGCCCACCGAGCATCCCATCACCGGGACTGCGCCCAGCGCCTTCCTGCAAGAGCTCCCCAGGCTCAGCCAGCGCCTGTGGGGCTGGGAAGTGCCACTGCAGGCTTTGCACCCTTTATCTCTCCTGGCTGCATCCCCCAAAAGAAAAAAAAAAAAAAAAAGAGAGAGAAGGAAGGAAAGCAGCCAGCATCGCCCATCACCTCCCCTGCTCTGACAAGAGCAGAGCCCAGCTCCTTCTGTGCAGCAGCCCTGCCTGCAGGAGAAAAGAAGCTGATTTTGCCACTCGAGTTGCGAAGCTGCCATTTCTCATTATCACTGCCTCGAGGAGCTGCCAGCAGAGCAGGAGCAGGCTGCGCTCTGATGTGCTCGCGGGCTGACTCAAAAGGAGGGTGGAAAGAGCTGTCGCTGTTGGCCACCCACCCTCCCCGACAGCTACAGAAATGAGAAGCCACGAAAGTCCAGCTGCAGATAGGAAACGGGGGCCAACGTTTGTTTCCATCCCCCGGAGCACACCTCAGGGCTGGATGTTGAAGGTGAAGGTGCCAAATTCAGGTGCAGGAGCTGTCGCATCCACCCCACCCGTGCGACAAGGAGGAGGCAAACCACGAGCCTGCGCCCTGGAAGGTCGATGCTTATCACGAGTGAGCAACCCTTCCTACTCAGCTGTGACCCCTTTCTCCTGTTTTCACTCCTCATCATCTGCTGTCACTGCTGCTTCCTTCATTGTCTGCCCGCTGGCTTGGCCCTGCCTGGGGTCTTTGCTAGGAAACACCTGAAATTGGAAGAATTGACCTCAGATCAAAGGTTTCAGGGGGAAATCAACAGAGCAGGGGCAAACCAGGCAGATGCCCTCAAGCCAAGGATGAAGGTGACCCACAAGTGCTCTCCCCGACCCTGAAGCAGCTGAGCGCTGGCTTGCACAGGCCAGAAAAGTCTTTAAGAAATAAAAAAAAAGCCAAGCAAGGTAGGTTAGATAACGCCCTCGACGGAAATCCAACTTCCTCCAAATGGACAAGTCCCTTGTTGCATCATTTCCTTCTCCCTAGAATAACTTCATCAAGATTTCTGCTTCAGATGTGTCCTTGCTAAAACTGCTGAGCTGGTGCCAAGCATCCCTGCAAGAGAAGGAAGCAAACCTAGAGGGAAAGGGAGCCAGCTTCCTCCGAGGGCCCTGGGAGGACGGGAGGGAAGCCGAAAATGGCACGGCTCCACGAGAGGAGGGCCAGGATGCGCCATTGTCCGGACCCTGATGAAGAAGCTCCCCTTCCCCTCCCCACCCTCTTCCACCCCAAGTGTTGTGAAAGAGAGGGCGACATCGCCACGATTAGCACAGAGGAGGAAAAGAGCAGCTCACCTGGTTTTGTAATCAGGGCATTAACTCTTGGCAGGTCTCCGGGCGACGCCAAACCTCTCACGGAGCTGCAGCCCTTGCTTCAGCTCCGTCTTTACAGAGAGCAAAGGGAAACCGAAGCAGGTTCTGCTCATCTAGGCAAAAGCAAGCCTGGTGAAGTCCCTTTTGCCCATCCCAAGTGCATTTTGATGCTGGAGCACCCTGCGGAGAATCCAGGCATGGGTGTTCAGCTGTGCTGAGCGTCCCAGTATTTAATGGGGGAAAGCACAAAAAAAAGAACTGCGGTAAGAGCCCCTGCACAATCCGAAGGGAGCAGCAGGGTTTTACTCCTCCATCTCCACCCCAACACCGGCTGGAGAGGGAAATGAATATTGTGGCCCTGCTTAGCCACAGCTTCCTGCTGACAAACCTCTGGGGGAAGGAGAAAAGGCTCCAAGGGGGGAGGCAGCGCTGCAAGCAGGGCGAAGGAAAACCTGCAGGCTGGTGCTTTTCTGCGTGTCAGCACCTCCTCTGCCCACCTGTTCTCCGGAGGGAGCCTGCTACAAACAAGCTTAAATTTGACTGAAAGAAGCAAACCTTCACCAAAAGAAATCGAAGAGGAAGGCACGTCTGGGATCCGTGGCAGCCGTGCACAAGGTGCCCACCAAGTCCCAGCTCCTTGTGGCCCACGATCCATGCTGCAGAATGGCTAAAAGCTCTGTGCTGATGTCCCTAAACCTGCAGGGCTGATGGCAGCAGGACTGCCCTCAAGGTCACAGAGGAAGACAGAGCTGAAGCACACGAGCAAGTCATTACCCCAGGACCACGAGGAACCTTTCTGTTCCAGGCTGGGATCGGCTTCACGTGATGAACCCAGTCCTGGGTACACTGATGGGTGAGAAGCTGCTCCCGAGGATGAAATGTCACTGACAGCTGGACAAAACCTTTGCTCACAGTTTTTGGGGCAGCCCCAGCAGCAAGGTGCTACGGCACCACCACAGCTCAGCATCTAGAGAAGCAACCAGCACCTGCATCTCCTCTGCGTCCCCATCCCTCCCCGTTACTCACACGTGCTTTTTCCACGAGGGCTGCGTATGGCAGCAGCCACCCACAAAAACCTACAGGGAGAGGCATGGAGGTGAGGGGATTTTCCCCAACTTTCACCAGCACTTGGAAAAAACCACGCTCAGAGCCGAGCTCCCGTTACCAGAACTGCCTTCATCTCACACCTGAAAGTTTTGTGGGCTCGCTCCCCACCCTGGGGACACGCTCAGAGCGCCTCACCCACCCCCAGCCCAGAAAAAAAAAACAACAAAACAGACATTTAATAAGGCGATGACTAACCCCGAGAAATTCTCATAGGCAAACCGTCTCCAGGGATGTTTGTCACTCGAGCCGAGGTGGCCGTTTCCTCCCGAGAGCTCAGAACCGACAGCACAGGAGGCCCCCGAGAAAAGGGGTTCTCCAGCGTCCTTCCCCCGCTGGCAACGCTGAGCTCAGAGGTTTGGATCTCTGCTTTGAGCAGCTCGTATCAGACAAAGAGCTCTGCCTTCAGAGCCCACGCAGCTGCCACCTAAGTGTCTGATGGGACGGGCAGAGCAGCCCTGCTTTAACTCGAAGCACGCTCCCAGCTTTTCCATCAGCCCTTCACCTGGCAGCATGGTCAGCCTGGAAGGCACAACCCAGGTCCACCCGTTTTGCTGGAAGCTCCCCACTTAACGCTTCCCCTCCTCCTGCTCTGCACTGTTCAGACACCTTTTTTTCTCCCAGAGCTGCCACTCGAAAGCAAAGCAGCCCCAGGAGCAGGCTCAGCGTGGCAGCTCCGTGCTGCCAGCGAGCACTTCAGGCTCAGGGGACGCTCTCTGGAGCGTGGAGGTGACAGCGGAGGTGACAATCCTGCCCTGCACAGCTCTGCCCCGATGGGAAGGGCTCCACCAACAGACCCAAATCCACCGTGGCAAGGGGGTGAGGAGGTTGGTTGGGGAACAAGGAGGAAGGTGGAGAAACAGGGGGGAAAAAAACAAGAGGAGGAGGAGCCCCAGGGGCAGGTATGGTGCCAAGCAGCAGCGTGCAGGAGATAAGGGCTGGGGAGGGGCTGGAGGGCTCTTTGAGATAGGGGGAGTGATTACCAGGAGCTGCTGAGGCGTGATGGAGTTGTCTGTGTAAATGCAGAGCTTCTCCACCGTCAGGGGCATGGTTTCTCGCAGCTTGGAAGCCAGCAGCATGCAGACCGCCCCCAGGAGCTGCAAGTGGTTTTTCCGCACGGGGACCGAGGACAGGTAGCGATCCACGTAGTTCATGGCCAAGGGGAAGACCTCTTCTTCGCATTTCTGCTCCTCGCACACCTGACAAAACCCGATCAAGCAAAACAAAACAAAAACAAACAAAAAAAAAAAAAAAAAAAAGGAAGTTTTAATCAGCACCGGCCTCTCCAGACCCTGCCTGCACCGCCGCAGCTTCAAAGCTTCTGGTGGTGGTGGTGCTGCAGGGTTATCTGCAGGGCTCCGACAGCTCCACGGGGCTAAGGAGTAAGTCAGCTACAGGTGTGAAGCCTACGGCTGCAGCGAGGTTACGCGAGCAACAAATGCTGCACGGCTCCATTCATCTTCCTGCGGAAAGCAGAAGAGCTTGAGTGCAGTTACAAAGAGCCCACAGAGACTTTAACACCCCGATTCTTTTAGTTGCAACCCCTCCACCCCCTGCCTTTTCCACTGCTCTCAGGGATGCCCGCAGCCGGCTGCCCATTTTCTGCTCTGGGAGGACTCAGGACCTCAGGGAAAAGCAGCAATTCCAGCAGCCTCCAGCTGGAGCCCCACTGGTGCAGGATCCACAGCCACTCCTGGCAATTCCACCCTCAGGAGTCTCCAGGAGTCTTCCTCCTTCCCCCCCTGCCACGGCCACGAGCAGAACCCCAGAGCTCCGAATTTGAGCCCTCCGCTGCAATCTTGCAGCAACCCCGTGCCAACCCCGAAGTGTCACCCACTTTTTGACCGTCCTCACAGCTCCACAGCAACAGGCTCCAGAGCTGCATTTATCTAAGGAGCCTCCTCAGACAGAGGCTTGCAGCGACAGAACAATGCGAACAGGAAAAAGAAAAAAAAGAAGAAAAAAAAGCTTTTTAAAAGCAAAGCGCTCTCTCGTTTCTTTTGACAGAAGCAGGCAGCTTCTTGCAAGGGTGGCTGCGGTGGTGAGCGGGCAGCCTGGATCCCAACGTCATTTATGTCTTGCTGTTTCTTTCTCTGCTGAGACCGCTCGCTCTGACCATCCCATAAAGAGGCCCGTGAGGTCTCCCCACTGAGCTGCATCCCGCAGAGAGCCTCGTTCATTTTAATTTAGGGAAGTAAAGGGTTGCAATGTTATTTTCTCCCTTCAACGAGGCATTCTCAGCCCCGTGCAGGGTGTGCAAGCCTCTGGGCTGCAGGCTGCAGAGGGGGAGGATTTGGGGCCAGGATTTTAGGGAGCAGGGAATGAATGGGGCCCAAGAGCAGCATGGCAGGATACTACCAGGGGGGAATTGGGGGCACACGTTGGGATCTCGGGGGGCTGCTCCCGCTGCATGGGGCCACCGCTTCTCCCAGCTCAGCCACCACTCGCCCAGGCTCTGCCCCACCACAAACCGCCTTGCCCACCCGCCTCCCCCTTCCTCCCTCCGGGCACAGCCTCCTCCATGCCGGGGACCGCAGCTGCGGCTCGCACGGACCCCGGAGCCTTCCCCGTGCCCCGGGGGCTACCCCCGGCAGGCAGCAGGAGGGAGCCGGGCGGGTGCACGGGGAGCGGCCGCTGCCTTCCCCGTTTGCCGCCAGCTGCCTCCCGGGGCGCGCACGCTTTGCATGCACGGAGGGCGGGCGAGAAAAAGCAAAAAATAAAATAATAAAATAAAATAAAATGGGGTGTCCGGGCAAGGAGCTGGAGGAGGAGGAGAGGAGCGGGAGGATTTGCGGCCGTACCTCCAGCATCCAAAACGCCAGCATTTTCCGCATGTACGGCTTGATCTCCTGCTGCACGCACTGGAAGTAGGAGACGCGGGGGCTGTAGCGCTCCTCCTGGCTCAGCAGGTTCTGCAGCACCCGCCGGTCCCCCAGCAGCTGCGGGTCCCGCCCGGCTCGGGGGGCTCGGGGCACGGCTTCCACGCACAGCAGCTCCATGGGCGCTGGGCGGGCAGCGCCGGCTCCGCTGCGGCGGCCGCGGGACGCGGGTGGCGCGCCGGGAGGCGGGGCCTCGGCGGGGCTGGGGGCGGGGCCGGAGGGCTCTCGGCCAATCGGAAGCGCCGCTGCCGCCGCGGCGCGCCGAAACCCGCCGGTGGACACGCCCCCAAGGGGCGGGGCTTGCGGCGCGCCGGCGGGCTGGCAGCACGTGGGGCGGCCGCGGGAGCCGCTGCCATGTTGGGGGGAGGCCGGCAGCGGTCGTGCACGGCCCCCCGGGGTGGTCGGGGGCTGGGAGCCGTGGGAGGTGGGGGGGGGGTTGTTGGAGGGGTCGGGGTCCTGCGGGGATGCAGGGGCCACGCCGAGCTGCCCCTGCGGCCGGGCAGGCTGCAAAGGAGCAGTCCCGGAGCCCCCCCCGGAATGCTCCTCAACCCCGGCTTTGCAATTCCTACAGCGCACTTTGAGCATTCAGTCCTAGTCCTTCTCTTTCCCTCCCTGTTCATTATTTCCCTTCCTTTTTTTTTTTTTCTTTTCGTTTTTTCCCTCCTTTTTTGCTTATTCCCTCCCTTTTTGTTTATTCCCTCCCTTCTTGTTTATTCCCTCCCTTTTTGTTTTTTCCCTCCATTTTTGTGGCCAGAGCCCTTCAAAGCAAAAATAAAATAATCAGCTGTGTGCATACTCGGGGCCAGCCCGTGCTCAGCATGCTGTCTTCCAAAAGTTATCCCCATATTACCACTGGTGCAGCTCCATAGCAGATAGCAACCCCAGTGTCTGCAGAGATAAGGGCTTGTCAGGCTTTGCTGGTTTTTTGTTCTGTTTTCAGAACAATTCACAATGCTTTGGAAATACCTTTGCAAATTGTACCCCGAGCAAACAGTTCAGGAATTTTCAGGGAAACAAAAGCCTTCCAAGCAAGTTTGCACCCTGCCTCCTGCAGCCTAGGGTTTGCTCTGCAGTGGTACCTCGCTCTGCTTGCAGTTGACCCAGCAGTAATTGCTTTGTGGCATGGGAAGCTGAAGGCAACGGGATACAATTTTGGCCACATCGCTCCCTAATGTTTGTCACTGTCTACAAAAACTGAGATGTCTCGACTTTGCCGCTGCCAATTGGAAGTGCCAGGAAACTGCCTATAAAATGTACAACAGATTCTGTAGCTGGAATACCAAGGGAACGGACTGCCTTTGAGCTTGAAAATTAAAAGCTCCTCACTGAGTTGAGAGAATTCAGCTCAGGAGGTCCATTTCTATGAAACTTTCCCATACTGGCTGTGAAGGGAACGTGCCCGAAGGGGATGGCCTGCTCGTATAACCCTTTTCACGACCGGGATGGTGCTGCAATGTGTCATTGCTGCCACAGTTGCAAACCAAATGATTAATTACAATCACAAATGTTGGAGGTGGGAAGCACATTCCTGAGCACCAGTGTATCTCACTCTGCTAGACCCGCTTTATTCCCTGCCATTGCTGACTGCCTTTCCTTCTGGAACGAAGCACCTCGGTGGTACGCACTCCTGCAACACACCTCAGGGCCGTATAATTCAATTTTACAGGGCAGCACTGCTGTGCTGAAGGCATTCTGGCTGTACTGCGGAATGACAGATGGAAGAGGAGGGAAATAAGCCCAAATTCAACCCACAGCAGTAATCTCTATCTGTGATCCTGGGAGGATAGCTGCTTGTGCTCAGGAGGGAACAGAGCGATGGAATTCATAGAAATCAGGGATTTGGGGCTGTGGTGTCATATAAAGAGAACTCAGCTGGAACATCTCTGGCCAGTTCAGCTGGAGATATTCCTTAGCGTACACACTTGCATGCATTTTTAGGATAAGGAACAAAGAACTAAAGGGCTTAGCAGCAGAGTGATCTGCCACAATAGCTACTCCCCCCAGCGAGTCACTTCTGTGTGCCATTTTGACACATTTAGTACTTTTTTTTTTGTATTTTCAGTCATCTAAAAAGAGTCTCTTAATGAAGAACAAACAGACAAAGTTAATAAGTGTAAGTAAAACAAGACTCTGCTCTCTCTGCTCAGGATTTTATTTTATTTTTTTTAACGTTGAAAATGAGAAACATCTTTTTGATCAGAGGTTTAGAGGTTGCCAATGCTCCTCATGACAGTGAACACAGAGGTCCCGTACAGAACACACGCAATACATTTCACACGCTGGAATCCCATTTCTGCACTTGGACAGATGGCTTTCATTTTCTGCAAGGTATCCGAGACATTGCAAGCCCTTAATGATGCTATCAGCGTTGATTTGTTGCGACGCAAGCCCTCAGAATACCACATAGCACGGCGAGATGGAACTGGAGGGAAGAAAGGAAGAGCGGGGAGACTCAGATCGATCCCATCCCTGCCTTAAAATGGGAACGAGGAATTTTGTAGGTGCGATGAGATTCCCGAATCCCTCTCCCAGCTAAATTTCTTTTACCTTACGAATAAATCTCCTAGCGGTGTGGGCAAGAAATATTTCAAGAATCTATGGGAGAGATTTCTGTGGACCAGTCAGCTGGTTTTAATCCGGGATGACCCCCCTGCTCCACTCCCCCCCTCTTGCATTGTGAGCAGCATCCCCCAGTTGTGCAGGGGAAGAGAAGGGCCCCACGTCCCACATTTTTAGTAAAAATAGACAGCAGCTATTGTCTTTAGTCAGGCAAAGGGAAACCACAGCATTGGGTTCTTGGTCCTTCTGGTTTCTGGGCTGTGCCTTTTGAAATTGAAAGTTTCGGGCCCTTTCCCAGACTTTATGGTCTTTCTCCTGGTTCCCAGCGTCTGCGGGGCGGTTCTGACGCAGCCCCTAAGGCTGGAGCCGGGCTCGGTGGCAACCGTGTGGCCATCGGACACGGAGGGGGAGAATGAAGCCCGTTGCATAAGCCAAGTGTTCCTTCCAGATGATGACTTGGCAAAACTGATGCCTCCGCGAGCCACATTATCAGGCTAGAAAGGCAAATTACAGGCTGCAGGCGTCCTAAAAAGCCTATTGTGTGGGTGTGCGGAGGGAAAAGAGAAAATTCCAGGAAAACCAAATTTTGGTCACTGTTGTCCATAGATAGTCAGCTTCCTGGCTTTGGCAAGAGAGCCCAGCAATATGAAGCAAAGGAAATTCCTTCAGAGTAAAAATTAAAAAACTGATGGCCTCCAGACTTCCAGGATCTCGAACCAGCAATGTTATTCTTTGCTGAATCATAAAGGAGCCTCATTTTTCTGGTATGCTGGTGATGAACGAAGAAGGCTGACCAGCAGCTGGGGCTGTTAAAGGAGCGATGAGGATGGAAGCCCGATTCCAATGGGCAGCCGGTGCCACAACGTGGCCTCAGATCAAGGCTAAAGCAATTTTTTTGGGGGATGGAAATTCAAACGGCCATTTCTGAAAGCTCTTCCCTGCAGAAAGCCTTCAGTTACCTGACTCTGCATCAGCAGCGGGCCCGGCCCCCCCGGGCTGTCCATGAACACGATATTTCTTTTCCCCACTGCTTTCTGCCTCGCGTTTCCCAGCTGCCTCCTTCTGATTTTGAGCTACCACGAGCTGTGCCACCTTCATCCTCGGGCACACCGCAACTACGGTGTCCTCGGGGGACATCAAAATGAAACTGCTTAACATACCGAAGGGCTTGAAAACCAAATCCAATGAGCGAATAACTATATCCTTTGCTATAGGAAATCCCCCGAATAAAATGAAAAGCAGGTACCATTTTGTACGCGTAAGAGGAAGAGCGAAGACAGCGTTTCACTTTTTCTGGTTGGTGGCTTTCAAAGCACTTCAAACACCCTCATCTGTGATATTTCCCACCCAGATTTCCCTAAAGCTGTGAGATATTGCAAGCATTCCCAGGAAAAGAACGAGGGCTCTGGCACACGAGGGCTAGCAAATCGCGCCGGGACGGTTTGGCGTCACAGTCCCTGCTCCTTCAGCAGGAGCCAGCCCAGCCTACAGCCCATCATTTGTGCTTGATAACTGCTGATAAAATGGACCGGGACCAGCAGGTCAGGCTGTGGGGTGCTCAGCTCCACCTGGCGACACGGCAGCGGGGTCAGAGCGCGGCAGGGACGCGGCACATCGGCTGCTGCCCTGGTGCACACGGCTGGGAGCCCGCAGGCACAGGGACCGAGGCATCTTCCCAGCTCCTTCAGCCCTTCCCTGGCTCAGCGGAGGATTTCCTGGTCTCGGTCCCGTGCTCAAACACAAGACAACCGTTTCCCCCCGTAGCTGGCTCCCTCTCCTTTCTCGTATCTTATTCATTCTTAACTTCAGAGCAATGCTTTCACTGAATTGAAGGGAAGCGTGCTGGAGTACGAGCTTAACGTTGCAGGATTTGGCCCGCGGGACGTGTTTCCTAATATCTTTCCCATTACTGGCAACCACAGCATTCCCTTTCCTCTGACTTGGTCAGGCTTTTGAGTACAGCTAATTAGCTCGGAGTGATATCATCTGAACACTGAATCTCGGCGGCGCTTCGATGCATCATCCAGTTAGGATGCACACCAGCCTTCTGAAGAAAGCCCGATGCTTCTAAGGTCAAAACACATCTTTCTGTCAATTTAAACCTCCTTTTTAGAGTGGCTTTTGCTACAGCTTGGACCAAATCTCTATTTAAACAGAAATAAAACTGTGCTTGTGGGTATTGTTTAGGTTTATGCCATGTCCATCGCTTCTATACCTGCGCCTGCCTGTTGCTGGGATCTGTCTCAGTTTCATGACATTATTTTCTTAACCAAGACCATTCAAGGTGAGAAGCAGTTGGACCCAAACCCCTTTGCTTAAGTGGCTTCCAGAACAGGACAAAAAAGCGACTGGAAGGAGTTGCAAACAGATGAAGAGACGTGTTTATACCCAAGCACTACATCTTTTGGCAACTCATTTAGGAGAGCATTTCCAGAAGTGGCTTCGGAGCATCTCCCTTTGTGAGCAGCTGGGCTAGATTTGACTCCAGGGGACCCGGGCCAGCTCGCCCCAGCTATCTATTTAGGCCAGCAGAGCTTTAAATGCCGTTTCACCTGACTTTTTATGAAAAGCATCAGAACGGGCTGGTCTTCATCTGTCACTGCAGCAGCTGTTTTCTGCCTTAGTTCCCTTTTCCTAACGAAATCTAAAATTAAGTCGCATTTTCATTGACTCAAACTCGTACCATAGTAAGCCATCCCCAGGTGAATGTTTAGTTTTGCTCCCAAATCAGGCGTTTCAGAAACCAGCCAAACTCAGCTGGTAAAGATAGAAAGAAAGAGCGCAGAAAAAAAAAAAAAAAAAAAAAGCAAAGCTGAAACCAATCAATTTCAGAAAGCAAGCTGGGCTTGGAAAGCCCCCAGTTGTGATATATTTAGTTCATTTCAGGGGATTATCTGTGGTAGCCAATTATGCAAATTGTTAAAAAATACTACCCTGAAATTTTACATATAAAATAGATCTTTTTTACAACACCCTTCCTTTGTCCATCCTTCCTGCCCTTTCCTGCCCTGCCCTGATCTTGTTGTCGGTGCCTCGCGTGCCCCATTCGGCAGATTAGATGCGTTTGGGTTTTTCTAAGAATTTTTGGTTGCATGATATTTTTCATTTGATGTGGCAAGCCCGGTGCCTAGCGCCTCTTTGCCAACGCAAACTGCCAGGCAGAAGCAGAGGCAGCTCAAAGCTTCTTAGCGCTGCGGGCAGAAGGGGAATTTGCCCCAGCAAAGAGAGGGGGCTGTGCTGGAAAAAGGGGCAGTCCTGGAGGGTGGAGGGATGAGGAGCGGGGACTGGTGCAGCTGGAGCAGAGCAAGGAGAAGGGAAAAGTCCTCGAAAGCTGGGCTCGGGGCTGCTGCAGGGAGCTGGGGCTGCTGTGGGGTGTTTGCAGCACCCTGAGCCTGCATCCCAACCATTCCCAGCGTGGTAGCACCCCGCTGAGTTTTGCAGGACCCCGGCACAGCAGAGGCAGGGCAGCAGGGCTGGAGGCAGGCAGAGCTCAGGGGCAGGGCAGTGCAATGCACTGAGCAGCCTGGCAGGCAGGGTTTTAACCTTGGTTTGGCTGGGAGAAAAACAAGAACTGAGACTGGTGCACAAGAGCGGGGCAGGAGGGTGTACCCTGTTCCCTGTTAGAGGAGCAGAGAGGATCCCACGCAGGGAAGGTGGGCTCGCAGGGGGTCCCCCACTGCTGCTGCTGCACTGGAGACGTGGATGTGCCTGCATTGGGGCAGGGATATCAAATCAGCAGGTCCGAGCTAGAGCCGGTTCCCTGGAGGGAGGACAATGCCGTGTGGATGTGCCCACAAGTGGTTTTGGGGGAAGAAAGGAAAGGATTGATGCCCCCTGACTTCCCCCACTCGGGGTGCACCCTCCTGCCCAGCACCGCAGCTGCATCTGTGCGTGGCAGCCCCCTGCCCCCCAAAAAAAAGCCCCAAAGCCCCCCAGCTTTGCTGCCAACCTGCCTCACCACGCTGAGCCAAGGTGTGCAAAGGGTTCCTGTGCTCCCCACCCCGGCAGAAAGGCGCACGCTCATCCTTCCAGGTCCAGCTGCAGTCAAAGGAGGAAAATTTTGAGGACTTCACAAGGCACGGTGAAGTAGGCAAGGCTCCTTCTCTGGGGGTCACACCGTGCTCCCTGCACACCCCTCCCAGAGGCACAGATGTCACCAAACTTCTTGTGACAGCCAGGTACCCCTGCACGGGGCGACAGCTCTAAAACCGAGACCCTAATACCCCTAATAACAGGCGGGTGCATTTCTCCCAGCGCTCCTGGTAGCTGTGCATTTATCTACGTATGCTCCCGCGCTCACAGCACCAATAATTACTGACATTAACAACACGCTAATGAGACACGCTCTGTGAGTGCATGCACATCACCGAGCAAGCAGCATTCCCGCTGCACTCGGGCAGATCCCTGGTGGAGGGATTCCAGCAGCAGCCCCGACACATTAACCATTTCTTCCAACACCAACCTGCTATTTTTGCTCTGAGCCTTGCAGCTCCTGCAGCTCCTGCCCTCTCCTAGCAGGGAAAAAAGATGGTTTTGCCTCCTGAGCTACCTAGGCTGCAATCTGTGGTGGATCCCATGGCTGTGCTGGAAAAATTGGTATGGTGTCCTGTTCAGCTAGTCCTACAGCCACCTAACTAGCTGAAAATAAGTCAGCGGCTTGCAGCCATGTCCTCACAGCCCGTGTGAGCAGAACTAGAGGCACTCTCGGGTCAGTCCAAGAGCCGGGGCAGAAGGGAATCGGATGGACCGCAGCGCAGCACCGGCCCCAGGCTCCTACCAGGATCCTGCCTGCAGCAATTAAAAGATGCACTTCCTTCCCACCGCAAACTGACAAACAAATCGGTTCCTGCAATCAGGCATGAGCGCTTCTGAGGTTATTTCTGTAGCCCTCCGGCGTTATTTAGAAGGCGAGCTGGCAGAGCATGGCCCCAAAACGAGCGCTAACGCCTGGCCGGAGAGCTGCCGGGTGCTGGGCTGGAGCTCCCCAAGGAGCAGAGGAGCTGGAGGCAGCCTGGGCATGACAGCTCAGAGCTCTCCCCAGCGCCACCAGATCGCTCCAAGCACACCACCGGCCCCTTGTTCTGCTCAGACACCTTCCTGGGTGCTGGGTGTGGGGGACACAGCCCTGTTCCCCTGGGCGCTGATCCCCGTGGCACTCCTTTGCACGGATTTTCCCCTGCTCTGCGATGGAGGGCTACAAACTCCTCTCTGGGTGATTTCCCAGAGCCCAGCAAACGAGGGGACCTCGCAGCTGCTCTTGGCTCCTCCTCACCTTTTGGTGGGCGAGACTCCCTGCCCCAGGGCTGCTGTGCCAGGCGTGCTCCAGGCTCAGAGCACCGATAAGTGCAGAAGCGCTGCCCGGCCCCATCCTCAGAGCCACCCCCGGGTTATCTGCACAGCTTGGGACAGGCAGCAAGGAGTGCGGGGCTCGCCAGGCCTACCAGGAACTGTCAGTACCATAAAAACGTCTCCTTCCTCGTGTACTTGAGCCAAAGCCCGCTGGAAGCAGCAGAAAGATGCTGGAGATGCTGGTTTGGGGCCGGGAGGTGTTGTAGGGCCGGGTAAGTGGCTGTCATGGGGCTGCAGGGGTGATGGAGAAGCACCAGGGGATGGCACCCCTCTGGGAAGCAATGCTCCACCTGCTAAAAACCTGGGAGAGAGTCCGAGGAGCACACGGCCTGCACAAACACATGAGGAACACGGGGACGAGGACACGCAGGTCGTCACAGCCCGGCGGGTGCAGCGGCGTGCGAGCTTTGCTGGTCCCTGACCCCGAACGGCCCTGCCTTTGTTCTGCAAGCGTGACTTCGGAACGGCCACCTCTGGAGTCTCTCATCTGGCTTCTCCTGCCTCGGTTTGGAGCAGCCTGCTCCCCCGGCCAAGCTGAACTTGTTAACGTGACCCTAAGGAGAAGAAAAGGGGAGACACCTCGCTGCCACCCGGCACAGCAGCGCAGGCAGGAGGGAAGCGAGTGGGTCGCGAGCTGCGAGCAGCAGGTGGGAGATGCACGAGGAGAAGGGGGCGAAGCAAGGCAGATGAGCAGCATCGCTCTGCTTCTCCTGAGACAAACGTGCGAGGCTCAGCTGGCAAGGGAACAGGAGGAAACGGCCCCAGCAGACCCAGCCAAGGAGCTTTCCTTTCCCAGGCTGGGTTCCGAGTGGCAGCGGGGTGGGAAGCAGCGACTCGCTTCTCCTCCCACCTGAGCTCCAGGGGTTTCTGGCATTCAGAACAGGCAAACGTCAAACTGGCACGAGACGGGGACTCCTCGGCAGAGACAGGAGCTGGGAAGATGCATGCACGCTAGGAGAGCCAGCAAGGGGAAGAAAAGGGAGGACAAGGAGAGAAAAATAAAAGCTAGATCAAGGGCTGAGTTTTCAAAGGCGCTCAGCAGCCAGCGAGTCTTTTTGTTCTCAAAGGCAGTGGTGGAAGAACAGGGTCTGGATTATTCTGGGAGACAGCTGAGCTTTATTAGAAACCTGCCCCCTCCCATCCCACATCTGAGCTGAAGATTTCACAGAGACGAGAGCCGTTTGATTTAAAGGTGTGATCCCGTGGCCATTGCTGCAGTGAGCAGTGCCGGCTGTCTGAGCAGACGCTTGGAGAGAATCGCTGCCGCCCTTAAAAGCAGCCATCTGGGGATGCGTGCCAGCCCCAGAGCGCTCTGAAATCATTTGGCCAAGACTTTCTGCAGGCTCCAGCCTCCCGGTTGCGTGTTGTGGTGGTCCAGTTACCTGCTGCTGTGGTCCAGTTTCGTGCTGGTGTTGCCCAGTTTGGCGGCTGACAGCCCTCGTGGTGCAGAATGGAAGGAGAAAGACACACGGCGCGGCCAAGCCGACCTTCCACCAGCGGTCTGAAAATTCAGGAGAAAGTCAGGCACAGCTCAGCAGCCGATCCCTGGGTGATGACTGATGGGTTCAGCTCCCATCCTGACCCCAGCGGGAGCGCAGTCAGCCTGCAGCTGCCTCTGAGAGTTCCCAAAAGAGCCCAGGGAACTGGATGAACTCTTAATTGCTACAGGGGAGGAAAGAACAGGAGGCCCTGGAGCAATGAAAGCAGTTGGAAGCGGTGGGAGATGACAGAGAGACCTCACTGCTACTTACATCTCTCGCATACCCTGTAATTCGAGGGCTTTGGCCAAGGGAACTGGAGCGGCTCCAGGTCCTTTGAGTCCCTTGGAGAAAACAGCTCCAAAAAAACCGAGAGGATTCACCTCCCTGATGCTGGGAGCAGCCGGGGTTGCTCCTTGGGGCACGAGGGAAGGGCAAACATCTCATCGGCCCGGCAAGCACCCAAGCAGCAGGGAGGCACAAGGAGCCCCCCCAGCCCCTGCTGCCACCGAGGCCGAAGGCTCCCCCCGAAATCCGTTGGCTTGCCCACTGAAGGGCCCCAGAGCATCGCCTACAATTTGGGACGGAGCCCCTTTCCCGTGGTCACGCTCTGGGGCAGAAGGGCCACGCACACTTCCGCGGTCACCACCCGGCTCCAGGCACATTGGGGGACCCCCAGGAGGGCAGGCAGGGTTCAGTGGTCAGCTTCCCCCTGCCCACGCAGGGATCAGGCCGTGTGGCAGTGCAGAAAGCCCAGCTGAATACGGAAGGGCTTAAATTTGGAACAAAAACTGTGACCGGCTCCGGCGGAGCCAGGAGCAGATTCTACTCGAAGGAAAAAAAAAAAAAAAAAAAAAAAAAAAAAAAAAAAAAACCACCCTTTTTGCTGGCAAGTGTAGTGAAAGAAATGAGATCTGGGTCTTCTCAGCGAGCTGCTGGGTCTGGGAGTGCTTGAAAGGTTTCCTAGAGACAAGAGTGCAGCGCATGGAAATGTTTTCCATTTGCACCAGCACTCCTACCTCGTTCCTCTCAGCGCCACAACCTAAGCGTGACCTTTTGGGGCTTGACAGCTAACAACCAGTCCTGGCTCCTGCCACTTCCTTTGGAGCCCACAGTGCCAACTCCTGGCGATTCCTGAGCGAGATTACAAGCAAGAAAGGGCTCGGATACTCCCTGGATATGAGGACTAGCTTGTATTATAAAAAGAACGACAGGAGATGCTGAGCCACATGCTTCAGAGTCCACACCAGTAACAGCTCTAGCAAATTGTCCCTACTCCTTTTATAGGGGATCTTCTGTCTTGCTCTGAGTCATTTCTATTTTCTAGTATCTCAGTTTTCCCAGAGAGAACAGGGAACATCATCCCTCTCACTGAGTCGATACGATCTCAAATGGAAATATAATAAATGCTCACGGTAAGGAGAAAAATATTGGAAAAAGCTGGGAAGCATCAGGGCTTTGGGGTTATTTTCCCAGCTCTTCCCTGCCTTGCTCGTTAGTGTGGACGGATCATTTAGTTCCTTCGTGCCTCAGTTTCCCTTTGGCCAAACGAGACAGCGGAGGGCCAGCACTGCCCACTGGATTCAGAGGAGCTGCTGCCAGCTGCTCCAAAAGCACACGTGTCAAAGCAGAGCTCAGGCAAACGCATTTATTCTGCTTTTACCTGGCACGAAGCCTACTCCATTCATATTCAGGTGATTAATCATTAATGATGTTCATTCATTAACGGCGCTAAAGGCCTTCGAGATGGAAAAAAAAAAATAGAAAATTCCCAGGCTAAAGATGCCACAGGACTGCGTCTTCAAAGCAGCTCCAGAACCATTTAAGCAAAGGGTTTAATTCTCCCTGAAAATGACATCGTGCGATGGGATGACTCGTATCAGGCTCTTGGAAAGGGACCTAGTAATTAACTTGGTGTAAATTAATCAGCTTCAGTCAGGATTTAGAGACTTTAATTGCCGAGCGCTAGCTTTTGTAGTGACAGCTCCCAGAAAGCCCTTTGAAGTGGCCTGCCTGCTCCAAGTGCTGCGAGCGCCCGGATTCGGGAACCAGCAGCTCTGATTTGCCTTACAATGGTACAAAAGCCCCCCTGCCCCCAGACCCCAGCCTTTCTGCGCCCAGAGAGCTCAAGGAGACACTGAGGAGGTGCCAATCCGGCGAGATAAGGCAGAGAAAGGAGTCCCACGAGAAACTGGCTGCTGGAGCGGGGAGCGAGGACAATTTGGGGTCCGGTTTCCTGGGTGAAGCCCCGAAGCCCAGGCTGCTGCCCAAAGGAGCTGAGCTCCCCTTCCTGCTGCCAGTCTGCATCCCTTCCTCGAGCCCAGCCGTTGTGCTGCCTGCTCTGCTCCCACGGGTGATTTCCGACAGATTTCCGACAGATCAGGGACGGGATCCCTGCTCCCAGGGAAGATTTCCAACAGATCAGGGACAGGATCCGGCTGCCTGTGGAGCGCCCTCGCCGTCGGTGCCCCCCCTAAGGGAGCAGGAGAACGTGAATGGGATAAGCCACGCAGGGATGGACTTTATCAGCTTCATCTCAGAGCCAGGAGGACTTCCCCCTTCCCTCCACCCAGAGAAAAGCTTCACTCATTTCACCATGCAAAGAAAATGACGGTGGCCAAACCATTTAACTCGATGTAAATTCGCCTACGGGTAAAACTGTGCTGATGTAAAGCCCCTCGTGTCGGTGTGACCACATTTAAGGGCTGCTGCTGCTCGAAGGGTGCTGGCAGATAAAGGTCTCGGGACCTATTTATGACGAAGCAGGGAGCAGGGCTGCACCTTCTGAGCCCCAGCGGCAGGCAGAGCCGTGGAAGTGACAGCAGCGACAAAGGAAACGCTCGTTACTGCGCCAAACACAGAAACCAAGGCTGCTGCCATTAATTAAAAAAGGAAATCAGAGCTGGGTCACTGGAGCCTAAACACACAAGAAGGGGGGGGGGGGAGAGAAAAAAAACAAGCTGAGGAAAAAAAAAAAATAATAATATTCTCAAGGCCCCAGGAAGATAAGTATCACGGGCTACACCCCAGCTGGCCCCAGGCACCCCGGTACGGGGCTACTGAAAGCGCAACTCCTCGCGGCAGGGTGGGCCGTGGGGATGCGGGATGGGAACGGCTCTGAGAGGCCTCAGCAAAACAAGAGGCTTCAGAGGATGTTGTTCTGCAGCGAGGCTAGGAAGGGGGTTGATTTCCTACCTGAAAATAAATATATACGTGCGTGGATTCTGCGCTTTCTGCCCGGTTATTCCCTTTTCCTCCTTGCTCGCCTCGTGCTGTCCTTCGCGGGGTGGAAGAGGCAGGCTTTGGCTGCGATGGCAGAAAGGGGAATTTTTCCTGAGGTTGCTGGACATAAACACCCCCTGTGGTCCTGTCTGTCTGTCTGTCCAGGCAGCCCAGGCTCACCGCACTGGGTCTCCCTGCACTGCGGCACGGACCGGAGCTGGGCAGGGAACATTTTTCCCATCCCACAAAAATCTTCCTGTCCCGCAGCAGGATGAACCCGAGCCCTCGCCGAGCTTCTGGTCTTGTTTTCTAAAGAAACAGGCCGTATGCAATCCCGCTGTGCGCGTCTGTCCTTCCTTTCCCATAAATTCTTAATCCAGCCGAGTCGGACAGAGGTGGCCCAGTGAAGGTACCAACACGGCTACGTTCCCACAAGCTCCACACAAGCAGGCAGCTCAGGAGAAACGAGACCCAAAACATGCTTCTGGCAAGAAAAAGCACTCCAGAAAAAGCTCCGGTTCTGTTGGAAAGCAGCTCTCAGACACCAGCAGCTCCAGTTCTGCCTTTGCTGCTCACAGGAACGGTGTCTGGAGGGCTCTCAGGCACCGTGATGTGAGCTGGGACGTGGAGCACAAAGCCCAAATCCAGGATTTGCTTCCTCCAAGCCCCAGTTCTTGACCTGTGCCCAAAGCTACGGACCCCAGCAGGGTCACCCCATCTCCTGCCCTCATCTACTTACACCTAGGTAAAAAGAAAATGCTGATTTTTCATGGGGAAATGTTTCCACTGGGCAGTGCAAACCACAGGCAGGGCACGTGGGGTTCTGTGCACAGCAGGGCATGGGCTGGGGGAGGCTCTTCCCCCAAATCCAGCTCACTGAAACCCTCATCAGCGAGAAACTCAAAGGCCACAACCTCTCCCCTGGCCCTTTTGCAAAGCCCCTGCTTTGGCACGGCCCCCCCAGTCCCACATCCCTCCACCCCTGGCCTCTCACCACCTCTTTGCAGACAGGACTTTTATATTTCCCCTTTGCAGCCACCCCACAGGTCTTTACCAGACCTTTGCAGATGGCATCTCAGGGCCTCAATCCCTAATCACGCATCCCAGCTTTCGCGTTATCTGGGCCCTGGAGGCACATCCCTGCCAGAAAGGTCAGAGATAAGCAAAAGGTCCCTTTGTGCTCCCTCTCTGGGTTTCTTAGAAGCTCGCTGCCCTCAAAAGAACAACAAAATCCAACTGCACATGAGCCCCTCGCGCTCTGCTAACGCCCAGGTGAGAGGGAGAGGTTGCCCTAAAGTGTTAGGGGGTTGAAATTCCTACCCACAGAGAAAGCTGAGGGCAGCAAGGCGGCAGAAGAGCTGGCTGCACCCTCAAGCTCTGCCCAAGGAGGGACTCAAGCACCCAGCTAGTGTCTAGGCTGAGGCACGGAGAAAAACCCATCACCAATTATCATCCCCGAGCTTAGGAGGGGCAGTTATTGGGGTCACAGCACCGGAGGGAGTCTGTGACCCGGTTACTGTCCTGGCTGAAAGCAGCCTGCTCTTACTCAGCCACAAATTCAAAGGTACCTTGATGACAGCACACGGAGAAGTACGATCATACGTCCTGAATCACATCTCCCTGGGCCCGTGCACTTCACAGCGTACTTGACTTTATTTCCATCGCAGCTGCCGCAGCTTAGGCTGAGAATAACAACCCTGGAAAATCCCATCATCACCGTTTGAGTTGGTTAACACCTGAGAAGTGCTCCGACAACGCACACTTGGCCAGCAGGCAGCACAAGCACTGTGCCGCTTCTGGGCAAAAAAAAAAAAAAACACACATGGAATATATATTTAGCTGAGAAGTGGAACAAAACGTGGGTGTCCCTGCCCGTCGGACTGCCTGACCTCTTCCTCCCTCACCCAGAGGGGAGGTGAGGAGCGGGGCTGGCCACGAGCAGCTGCATCGGTTCGAGTTCAGGGCTCCAGGATGGAGCAAACACACGCACACCTTCCATGCATGCCCTCAGCCAACAGACCCCACGCCCCGTGCCTCAGTTTCCCCTTCAGAGCTGGTTTGAGGCTGATGGAAAGAGACTTGCATGGAATCCAGCATTTTTATAACTGATGCATTTTCTTGTTTTGTTGCTTTTTTTCCCTTAATTATTGATTGAGCTTATAAATTCCGGCCGCCCAAGGCTATAGCACAAAGTCGAAGGTGTGTGTCATTGATTTATGAGGCCCCCATTCAGTTCGGCTTGCCTCCCCCTGTAGTTCCCATGGGAAAAGTTGCTCCTCACTTCCTATCCAAAATCTCCTGCGCGGTACGGCTGGGAGCTCTCAGACAACCTCCTCTTTCTGCCCTTGCTACGATTTTCTCAGCAGCATGAGCTGAATACGCCGCCTCGCCCTTCTGCTGTGCCGAATTTGGCGAAGGAGGAAAGGTGCCAGGTTAGGAGGAAACGCAGACACTGCTTTTACTCGAGGTGCTGAGCAGGCCAAAAACCTCGCTTATCCAAAATAACGCACAGTGAAGAGGAGGAAATCTGCACTTTTTTCAGCCTCTGAAAAACACCGGTGGAAAACGTCCTACCTGCACAGAGCACCCCTGCCACTGTAGATACATCACCTACAGAAACCTACAGCACCTACAGAAACCAAGATACCCAGTCCCCTTCTGCCCCCAGGGAAAGGGCTGGTGCCAAAGCCAAAGGTGGGACTCAGAAGAGCCCATTCCATCCCAAAAGCCTGTGTAAATTGACAAATCTCTGCCTCACTCTTTTTGCTTTGAAGTGGACGCGATGCTTTTCACTTTGGCTCCCTACATGCCCCCAGCAAATGCATTCTGCCTTATAACCTGGACGTTCAGTCCTTTGGAGAACCACGCTGGTGGGGCCTGTGGCTGCTGCACCAAGTAAGCCACATGCAGTACACTCCAATATTAACATTCACAGGGGTTTGTTTCCATGGGGTAAAATTGTGGGATTTTTTTTTTCTCCGGAGACTCCTCAGCCTCCTGCCAGGGCAGCTCCCTTCAGCTCCAGCCACGCTTTCCTCTCCTCTGCCTCACCATCCCTCACTACCGGGTTGTCACGCAGCGATGCCAAGTGCCTGCATGAGCTGTTTGAGGCCAGAGATTATGATGCATCTGAAAGAGGAGAGACACATTCATCTCAGTGTCAGCTGTTACTGCGAACAAGCAACCAGGGACACCAGAAACCAACTGCGTGCCCTGGAAACTCCTCCTTTGCTCCGGAGACTTACTCTGCTCCAGACACCGACGCGATGCCCATGGAAGCTGGGGATCTTTCATTCTCAAGCACGTACTATATGAGGTTGCAGTTGGTCCTAATTAGCTAATAAATGATAAACTAGGGACTCTGCATTTCTACTTGGGAACCTGGCAGGGCTGTGGGCTTCGGAGACACTGCCGAACACAGACTCCTGTCTTTGCAGTTATAACCATCAAACCCTGGATGATTCCTTCGCTGATGTGGGCAAGCCCAGTCCCCATGTGCCCAAGAGCAGAAAGGTCAGCCCGTGACTAACACCACAAGAGCTGCAGGGCACCGCTGTGTGTGCCAGCAGCTGAGATGATGAGATACAAAAGGGCTCGGACAGGGCTGATGCTTGCCATCAGTTTTATACCCTTGAGACCCCACCGATTTCAACGGGCTCCCACGTGCAGACCCGAGCCCATTCAGCCCCCACGGTATGCAAAGTCATTTTTTTTAAACCACCATTTAGCTGACAAATACGTTAAAAGCATGCCCGAGTGTTTATTTACTTCCTGCACGCCGTGAGCCGAGGTGAAAATAGATGCTCAGCAACGATCTCTGCTCACCTGCAGAGGTTGATGCTTGGATGCACAGCTCAGAGCCGCCCCGGTGCCCCGAGGGCCGGCCGCTTCCCAGTCCCCGTGGGTCTCCTGCCACTTCTTGCAGCTGCAAATCTGCCTCGGCCAAACCCCTGCAGGCCCAGGAGGCGCTGAGGGAAGATGAGGCTGGGTGTGCACGTGGACGCTTCGCCGAGCTCCCCCTGCAACGCGGCGCTCAGGAGGCGCCACGCTGAAAGCAGCGCTTTGGCAGCAGAGGTGGTGCTGGCAGCCCTCAGCCATCAAAGCAGCCTTGCTGTGCTCGGGCTCGCTGCGTGGCCTGCCCTTAACCCTTCAGCTGCGCAGGCTGACAGTTTCAAAGAGCTCTGACAGTTGCATCGCAGTTAAAAAAAAAAAAACACAAACAAACAAACCAAAAAAAATGCACAAAAAAAAACAGATGCAAGGGAGGCAGAAAACAAATGTGGCACAGGAGCTTTGAAGGCAAACAGCAGCACCTACACTCCACAAAGTATTTGAGCAGTTATTTCCTTGCCTGCCCTGTCACAACCCCGAGCACCTAAAACCTTCACCTAAAACCTTCCCAGTTGTGCTGCTGGCTTTACTGGTCCCACAGACCAGTATGGGTGCTGGTAGCACCGGGACACTGGGCAGAACTGGGACCCCCCTCTGCTGAGCTCCACACTCTGATGGTATTCGAGATTTGGGGCACCATAAACCCTCAAGTCATTATTTTATTTAATCATAAATTAGGGTAGCATCCTTCCCTGTCCTGATCAAGCCACGCAGTGCAGAGCGAGTGACCTGGCTGTGCCCGTACCCTACCAGGAGAGGTGGCCCCCGCTGGCTGGCTCTGAGCAAGGTGACAGAAAAATGCTGAGATGGTTTTTGGCTAAAGATGAGAAGCGTCATGCCCCCCAGCTGAAGAATTTGGGGAAATCTCTGCAAAATCTGAGACTTTTTGGGGTATTTCCAATGGAGAGGCTGACCCAGGCTCTGGCTGTTAATGAAATTAAATACATCAGGCAAAGAGAGATGACCTCCCATCTTTATTTCTTTCTCTTTTGGCTCAACCTAGAAATTTAAACAGGGCTGGTTTGAAAGGTACTTTCCATAGGCCTGGAGTCCATCTGTGCTCGCCCAGGCCCAGCTCCTCCGTACGACACGTACATAGAGAAACCGAGCCCTCCCAAAGACAGCAAATCCCCAAAAACTTCAGCTTCGGCCCGACCCTTCTCAAGTGGAAAGTCCTCACAAGAAAAAGCCCCAGCTGCATATGCAAAGGGACACCGAGAAGCAGCTTTGTGCAAATGACTCCTGGGTTAGAGTGAATGGATTTGGGTACATCTGCATGGGGGGGGGGACCTGCTGTGCCAAAACGCCCCTCGGGGACAACCCTGCGGTGGCTGCAAAGAGGGGGGGCAGGATGGAGCCCCGTGCACCTCGCCTCCCATGGAGGGTGGTGGGCTCCAAGCCCACAAAGCTGACTTTCTGCCAGCTGATTTTGGAGCTCTGGGGCACAGGGGAGGTCTCAGCATTTGGGCTTCCACCCGTGGCAGGCAGAGGGGCACGAAGCTTTTTGCTGCTCCGTGCGGGGAGCTTTGAACCGAGAGGCATGGAGCAACGGGGTTGGCACATAGGTGAGGTGCCCACCTACAGCACACGGCTGCCTGGGCTCTGATATAGGAACCTAACAGGGTGCCCACCGAGCTTGTAGGGCTGCTCCCTGTCCTCCATCCCCCGTAGCACCCCGGCTGCCCGCACCGAGGGCAGGAGGCAGCGAGCCAGCGCTCCTGCAGCAGCCTTCCTGCGCCGGCTCTGACTTCTGCTCTCGGATAGGAAGTTGATCAAAACCTCGCCGGGTTGCAGAAAGAAAAAATCAGATTTCAAAACCCCTGGCAGAAGGCCTCTGAAGCCTGGCAGCGGGCCTGGCATTAACCCTTTGCAGAGGGCAGGCCCCTTCCCAGCTGCACCTGGAGCTGACACCAGATACCCGGGCTGTGCCTTGCCAGCTATTTGGGGTTTGCTTCCCCCCCCCCCCCCCCCCGTCCCGAGCTGTCGCTCACATTCTCTCGTAACGTTGCTTTTATCTGGGGATCTATCGCGTGTCAGATCTCCTTTCATCGATAACCAGGCTGGGGGGTGGAGCGGAGGGAAGAAAGGGGGGGGGTTAGGGAAAAAAAACTGCTGTCTCAGTCAACGTGCAAACAGAGAGGAGTGGGGCAGGGGGGGAGGAAGAAACACAGTGCCAGGTTGGATGGCGAAGCCTCCCTCGTAGCCAAAACCTTGGCTCCCAGCTCCTCGGTGATCACACAGCCTTTCCCAGCTCTAGGTCTGGCTCAAAAATCCCAATTCAGAGGGATTTCTCATAGAAAAGCTGAGTTTGACCTCTGCTGGGCTTTGTGTTTTCCACCCAGGAGGCTGGTTCCCACTTCCACGGGTAGGAATAAAACACCGCCCAGCAGGGTAACCCACCAGTGCGTGCTCAGGATACCACCAACACCCAGAGCATCCCATGCGTGCTCAGCAGATCAGCACTGCCGTGGCTCTCTGTAGACTGTACAAAGGAGATTTGGTCTGGGCTTGGGTTTGGGCAAGCAGTTCTTCCTGCTGGGTACGGAACATGACACTGGAAGAAAGGTTTCAGCTCTTTTTCCCCCCTTCATCTCCTGCCCTGGCATTGAAAGTTGTGCTTGCCCTGACCCTGGGGGTACAGCAAAGCAGCCTGCGTGCAGCAGCTGGGACACGACGGGTCTGTGGGGTGCCATTCCCTACACCCTGCTGAATCCTTAATGCACCCTTCGGGAACAACCTGCTCCCAGGGAGAGGGGAGTTCTCCTTTCCTGGGAGTCATCAGATTTGTCTCACCTCTACATCACGCCTCTGCAACGCTGCTCTGGAAACAATTCATCCTCCCAAACCTGGCCCCTTTGTGATGTCCCTGTCCTGCTTCCACCCTGCCCCTACTGGAACTTGCCGAAAACCTTTGCAAAAGGTCCTGAGCACTTCTCACCCTTCACTTTCCCCTGCACACTCACCACAGGCCGTGCATTTCCCGACCCTCCCGCACACAGGGCACGGGGCGAGCAGGTGCTGGGTGCTTCTCATCCCTCTCCCCTCCTTCCTCTCGGCGCCCTATATCAGCCCACGATTAAATCAAGCCTGTTTAACCGCCACAGCCAGATGCGGGGACCCCATTCACTTGTTACAGAAGAATAAAAAAGAAAAGAAGAAAAAAAATCGCACGTGGTGACAGCCGTCTGCAGGTGAAACACGGCCTACAGCCCTCCGTCTGCTCCGAAGCCACAGGACCTTTGCTCGAGGTGTGGGAACTCAATTCACCATGCCCTCAAAGGCTCAGCCTTCAGTATTTACCCCAAAAGAGACCCTGCTGTAGGTGAGGCTGAGGAAACGCGCGCTCTGAGGCTGTGCAGAGGGGGTGCAGGTCTCAGCCCTCCTCAGCCAACCAACCCAACTCTTGCTGCCCCCAGCCTCACAGATTCCCGTCCCTCCAGCCAAAATTCCACAGCCACACAAACCTTGTTCCACGTCTCCCCAGTGCTCCCTCAAGTACCCTCCCCATCACGCACCCGTAGGTGCCCTGCTGCCAGTTGTTGTCCAGGGTCACCAATTTTAAACGTTTTCTTCACTATTTTTTTCCCCCCTTTTTGTCCCAGGACATGGAAATCCAAATGCTCTGGAATTTCCCAGCCCACTGTCACTAAGCCAGGACCCCCGAGGGGACCAGAGGGTGCTGAGGGATGTGCACAGCCACGGGTCACAAGTTAACCGGGGTTATGGAGACAGCTTCAGGCTCGGAGAGGAAGAGACGGAGACTGGAGGGAGGAAGGGAGGGAGGAGGAAGGAAGGGAGATGCTATCCGTGCCCGGAGCAGGGAGGTGAGCAGCCAGGAGGAGCAGCAGAGCCTATCGTGGCCTCCCAGCTGGTGCCGATCCCCCAAAACAGTCAGGGGGTCGCAGCCCATTGGGGACGAGGCCATTGGTGGCACGAGGCTTTATCAGCGGCCGTCTCTTCTTTCTGTCTGTCTCACTCCAAGCTCTCAATTTCCAAAAAGGGTGGGAGATGTCCCGGAATCAGCAACGCATCCTGAACAGCTGCTGCCACCCCCTATCTCTGCCTCACCCCTTGTCTCTGCTGCTTCTGGAGCCCCAGAGGAACAAGCTGCTATGCCCGGCTAACGGAGGGGCTGAGGGTGGTGTCACACCACGAGCCGAGGGGGCTGCAGATGCTTGCCAGGGGTCAGCTTGGGGTTGCCAGCAGGGCTGACTGCTTCAGGACTTCAGCAGATTAACAGCCTTTGGATCAGGCTCCTGTGGAAAGAGTTAAAAAAGGTTTCCCCAGCTTAGGCTAACTCCAGGACGCGATCTGGAGAACCTGGTATCAGCTTGGTGCCTGATAATGGTCACTCTTATTTCATCTGGAAACGGGGACAGGGAGCTGGACTTGATCTGACAGGGATGAGCCCAAACCCAAGCTCTAAACTCGGCTTGAGCCTGCTGAGAAGGTCCGACACGGCAGCAGCTCCTACACTTCACCCATTGCTACTGCTCCTGTACTGCCAGGATCCCCCTGGGAAAGAAGAGCAACTCTCATCAGACTCCAAGCTCAAATTCACAGATACAGACATTTCCTTCAAGTGCTTTGCTAAGGACTGCCAGTAGTCTTAGAACAAGACTTAACGGGCATTTAAGGTGACAGAAATCCCTCTCAACCCCGTGAACGTCACCCACTCGAACAGCACGCAGCTGCCCAGCTTTGCGACTCTTCCAGCCAAATCCCTGATGGTTTTTCAGCTATTTTTCCTCCATTTTAAAGAAACACAGAAAGGGAAGTGCCTTGGTGGACAGAACGAGATCAACAGCACAGCCAGACCAGGGCACACAACACCGGGTCACCCATCCCTGGGGGAGGCAACTCCAAAAGGCAGCAAAACCTTGGTCCAACCCAAAAGAGTTTCAGCAGCCTCCACCTCCGAGACCTCACTGATGCACGTGGGCTTTTGCGAACCCATCCAGACAGCTTCTCTGTCCTGCTGCAGAAATACAGGGCTCAAAAGACGGACCCCGAGCCCAGCAGGGATAAATTCACATAAACCCAAGAGAGTTTTCCAAACTTTCACCTTCTTCCTGCT